CCAGTGTGATTTGGCGGGATGCACGTCCAGAGTGTGAAGATGAAGGGTTCTTGGAAAGCCTCTTTGCTCTTGTTCGTTTGAGGCTTGACGGAGAACCAGTGTTGGCCATGCGCACTGCTTCATCGAGGCCGCGAGGTGTCCGGTCAGCATCTTCATGGGACTGACCTGTATGGAACATTTGTTCAACCGGAGTACGCGGCTCTGCTTGGGCGTCATAAAGATTACTGAAGGAGGCGTCGCCACTCGGAGGCGTAATGGGCGACACTGTCCGTGACTGGTTTCGCTTGTGTGGGGTATCGTAGTGCCATACTTTTGATACTTCGGTGTGTCGTTCACCGATAGGAATATCAATCTCATGTGGGCTGGGGGTTCGGCTCTTGTCTAGTTCGGTTGAGCCTGTTGCATGAGATGGGGAAGACGAGCCATGGCTGCTGGTTCGCTGTGCTTGATTGGTTGTGGCTTGGATTTTCCTGACTTCGGACAATTCAGGGGGGATGGGATTGAGCCCAAGCATCTGTACCCACTCAAAGCCAGCCTGTTCATCATCAGAGGTTAGAGACATGACCTCGCTCCATTCGGAGCCATCAACCTGTATTCCACGGATCATGACAATAATCTCGCCCTTGGCATCGCCATTGCGAGCCGATGCGTTACTCAGCTGGACCGGCGGTAGGAGTAACCACCGTCCCGTGGAATCGACTTCACAGATCAGAATATCACCTCCAGCGCCCTGACCTGGAGCATTGTCGCGGAGTAAAATCTCAACGCGACAACTCATTTCTTGACCACTCGAATGGTAGAGATGCAAATCAAAGTGGTCTCTAGCTCGCACACATCGCGACGGATCAACTCGCACACCTGCAAGAGGAGCGAGACTGCGAGGATCACGGGCGCGGGTGGGGTCAATGTCGGCTGCTGCTTCGTCTTCGAGGCGGGCCTGCTCATCGTTGGACCGCTTTCGGGCGGCGATGACCAAGTCTTGGAAGATGCTTGACACCTTCTCTACGCGCTCGGATGGTTTCACGTAATTAATGCCCTAGAAAAGGTCAATATATGAGCTAGAAATGTTTAAAGTGACTCCACAAACCTTCAAGCTCTTTGAGAGATACTTGAGTCGTACCAGTGGGCGCTTGAGCATATAGGCAACATCAACACGCTCACCGTCACTGTTGACGACGTATCCCTCTGCATTGCGTGGCATACCCTCGTCCCATGGGGCGCCATCTTCTGGCCCATTGACAACCTTGGCAGGCTTAAAGGGATCTTCGTCGGCGGGTGCAAGGCTGATTACTACATCTTGGAAGCCAAGACGCCAGACGGAAATGTAGTCGGAGTAGACACGCTGGGCGCTCTGTGCCCACTCAATCAGTTCATCAGAGTCGTCCTTGGGGACTCGCTTGTGCAGAGTCTTGAGTCGCTCTAGACAGACACCCATGTCGACAATGGGCTTCGTGATTTCACTTGGATCTGTTGTTTTGGATGAGCGAGAGAAGAGACCAGCAGCAATGGCGGCCTCTGATTTGTTTAGGACACAGCTGAGAAGAACGGGAATGACACCATCGACAAGAGTGCGGAGCTCTCGCATGTATTTGGCCTCGTCAGAGGAGAGCTCCTGCATGATATCTTCAATGGTGGCAGTGGCTAGGCGGCTCCTGTTGGTACGAATGCTGCGAGCGGAGACGATGCTCTTGGAGCCTGCTGCTTTGGGCATGGAGAGCACTGACATGAGGTCCTCATGCCTAGCAATTTTCCTCCGGCGAGTGCTCTGGCGGCTGATAATTGTCGAGGTTTCGGGGTTCAGGAGCGAGCCGACTTCAGACGAAGGCGCTCGGGTCCGGGTTCGCTCGGAGAAGGCACTCACTGTGTCTGAGGCACCAACGCCCGATGATCGTGTTGATTGAGAGGCAATTGTAGAGAGGCGCTTGCCAGTGGATGGGAACATGCGCGGGCCCAATATCTGACGCGGCCGCAGTGGCTGTGGCATCAGATCGGCCATGTGATCATCAGCCGCCTCAGAAGGTGCACCCTCTTTTGCCTCTTGGTCTCGAATGTTTTCCTTGGGCATGTCGTCTATAGAGGTGGATTCGCGAAGGGGAGACGACATAGATCGACCCTTCGTGGGAGAGTACTGGCTTTTGCGCCTTGCACCACGGCGCTTCAGACTTGGTGTCGAGGCAAAGGACACTTCGCTTTCTTTGTCTTGGACAGTCGTTTCGCTCATGGCATCCGAGGCAATGGTAGACGGGGCCTCCTCGAGATCTTGTGTCTTGATAGTCATCTCGTGGCTGGCTTGCCTGCGTCGCTGCTTGCTGCTGCTGGCACTGACACTTCCACTGCTGCGACGGCGGTTCTTGTCGACAGATTCGGGTCTTGTCCTCTCAGTGGATGCACTAACTTCTGATTTTTCGGCCGGGTAAGGCAGATCGAGGGATGACACAGAGTCCTTGGATCCTCTCCTCTTCTGCGACTCTTTTGCGGGCTCGTCTTGTGTCGCCTCTGTCGACACGGTGACCTCAGACCTGCCAGCTGCGGCAGGGAGATCTTGGGACGAGGCGGATCCCCTGGATCTACGCCTACGTCGCGAGCGTGATTTCTTGATGGGTGTTTCCTCCGTCACGTCAGTCGACAGAGTCACCTCTGATGTTCCCAGATTTGAAGGTAGCTCTGAGCTGGATACAGAATCCTTGGATCTTCTTCGCCTGGGGCGGGTTTTGGGGTTCACGAGGGGGTCGGGTGTGCTGCTGAGCCAGGCTTCTAAGCGGCTTCCTACGGGCCTGGCGGGAGGTGTCTCTGACGCTGCTGGGATTATCAATGGCGTGGCGGCCTCCTCCTCGGTCCTTGGGTACGACCTACGACTCTTCCTTCGTGAGGGTTTCTGGGGGTTCTTGAGAGCTTCATCGGCTGTACGGTCGCCTTGGCTTCGCGGGCGGCGCCGTCTTCTTCGCTCTCTAAGTTCGTCATTGCGTGGGGACATAATTCTGCTCTCTCGTGGGAATGAAACGGCGCTCTCCTCCTCGTACTCGACTGTGACAACTAAATTGGGATCCTCGCTCAGTGCAGTGTCGGATCTGTTGGCAAGTCTCTGTGGATATTTTGCAAGGTCGTCTGCTGACATGGATCCCCGCGGTGAAGTGCGCGCACGCCGTCTACTAGGTCGCACCCTCACCAGCTCCGTCTTTTCTTTCTCTGGCTTCGGAGACGTTGATTTGGGCCGCGGCCCATCGCTCTTTGCACCCTTGTCACTTTTTGCGCTCTTCCCGCTCCCTCCACCGCTGCTTGTTGGTCGTTGGTCACTGCCAGAGCTAGAGGGTTTGGGGGGTTTGGGTTGCTTGGGTGGAGGCTTGATCTGTCCGGTGCTTTTCCCAATGTATTCAGCGAAGGGGAGGAGAGGGCTCTGCTGGAGGGTTACAGGCGCAATGGGTTTGAGTTCAGGGCTGGCGGGCTTCTTGGGGATGATTTTCGAGGGGCGGACCCAGGCATTGGCGATGATCTTTGGCTGGGGGCGGCCGGTGGCGTCCTTGGGGGGTGGCTGTTTGCTGCGCCAGTGTGAGTCGCTGATGACACGCTTCTTAGGCGCAGTTGCAGTGAGGACATCTTCGTCGAGCTCATTGTGGGGGATGGGCGTCTTCTTTCCGCTGCCGGGGCGCTCTGGACTGGCACCGACAGACTTGCCCCGTTCGTGCGCAGGCTTCCAATTTGGCTTGTCGTCAAGGGTCTTTGCCTTGGGTGTCGTGACGGGGGTAGTGGGCGTAGCGGGTGTAGCGGGCGTGACGGGCGCGGCAGCGGGTGTGTCAGGGGCAGCGGGGGTTGGTGAAGAGACAGCGCTTGCATCTTCCGTGGTTGTCGTGGCTGCTGCTGGAGTTGCGGGAGTTGCGGGAGTCGGTGTTGCAGCAGGGCCCTCTGGCTCGATGTTCTGCTGCCAGCGCTTTATCTTGTCGCGCACGTTGGCGGGCTTGTTGATTCCAATTGCCTTTGCAAAGTCCTTGCCATCCATGCCGTTCTGTTTATCCGTCGCGCCCATCTTCTTGCCTGGCGGGCCATTTCTCTTCTGTCCAGTCGAGTCTTGGGGGTCACTGGGCCGGGGGGAAGCGGGCATCGAGTCCCGCAATCATTGGAGCAAGCAGTGGGGCGTCGCGGGGGACGGTGGTAGCGGGGGGTGGTGGTGAAGGCGGGTGTTTTGGTGTTGTTGTGTTTTTGAGCTCTGGTCGGGTGTGGCTGGTGGGCGTTTCCAGAGCTACGCAGGAGCCCGCAGCAGGCCGTGACGGCGAGGGCAGAGTGTTTGTGTGTATCACGGGCCAGCGAGTGTATGGGGCGGGTGAGGTGAAGGCCGCGGCGCCATAGATAGAGACAGTGAGTACGGGAGGGAGAGGGCTGGCAGTACACCTAGCGCAGTGGGAGCGAGACAGGCCGCAAGCCGGTGTGATGATGTTGGATGACCCAATAGGTGCGGATAGCGCCCAAGGCCGGGCTGGCGTAGTGCATGCATGGCACGTCCCCTAGGCCGACTCGACTGCTGCTGCGAAGACCAAATACGCGATAAGAGCCGATCTGTGGTGGTGGGCGATCGGCGAGCACGCTGCCTTGCTTAGTACGCGCATACACAGCACTTGGATATGCTCCGATGCACCCGCCCGCCCTGAGCCTGGGCGGAGACTCTTTCTTTTGCTGGTCTTGACTGATACTTGCACATGTATACAAGTACACGGGCAGAGACGAGACGGATACGCTCCAGCCCCGCCGGCCCACGTCCAGTCTCCCAGGATCAAAAGACACGCATCCATGCCAAGCGTGCAGACAGCTGCCATTCCAAGTTTACATACGTGTCTGTCGGCGAATTGCATGCATCGGCGGCCTCTTTGCTGCCAACATTGTGCTTGCCTGCCCCCATGTACATCATTGTGCATCCAACATTAAGACAGCCTTCTAATTTCACATCACCACCCAAAATATGCACATTACCACTACCTCTGCATCCTCCTCAAGCGCCCCTTTGCAGTCTCCTATTTCTGACCCAGCCGCTCATACTCCAAGCTCGCCAGCACAAACGCCCCACTGCCCAAGACGCTGTTGTACAAAATCGGCCTCCCAACATAATACTAAAAAAGCGCACTAGTCAGCAACTTCGTCTTCAACACCGCTCCCCACGTCGTGAACACATACCTCGTACGTAGCCGTCGAATTCAGACTGCACACACTCACCGTCCCATTCCACCCCAGCGTCCCATTCCCATTGTGCACCACAAAGCTGTCAGCAACATACTCGTAAGCCCTGCGTGCCACCCGCTCATACACGTCCGTATCCCCGCCCCGCCCCAACACCCCCAGCCTCACACTCTTCAGCAGCGCATACACAAACATGCTGCTCGCACTACTCTCAATATAATTCCCCTGCCGCCCCGGCTCATCCATGACCTGCCACCAACCCCCCGTCCGCCCATCCGCCGCGCGCACCACGGCCGGCATGAGCATCTGCAACTTGCCCTCGACATAGGCTCTGGCTTCGCGCGCAGAAGCAGGAAGTAGCTCCAAAAGGTCCACGAGCGCCATGCAGAACCATCCCAGACTGCGGCCCCAGACGTGCGGACTCGCGCCCGTGATGCTATTCGCCCACACTGCCGCGCGGCGGGCATCGTACCCATGCACCAGCAGCCCCGTCTTGTCGTTGTAGCAGTGGCGCCACAGCAGATCGAGCTGCTGCACAATGGCTGACGGGCAATCCGGTTTGTTACTACCTACGGCCTGGCTGTAAGCGGCCATGAAGGGGGCGAAGCTGTACATGCCATCCAGATAGCCCCAGTGGGGGTAGATGTAGTACCATAGTCCTCCTTCTGCGGTTCTGGGCTGGAGGTCAACGCTGTGTCGCAGTGCCGTAACGGTGGTGTGGTATGTTTCCTTCTTTGTCTCTTGCCATGCTCGTAGCAATCCGTTTCCGTTGCTCAGCCGGTCGAGTGGGTAGGTGATATCTTTTGTGGCATTGGACAGGACTGGGACAACGGAATCCAGGCTCTTGAGCACATATGCATCGATTGCAGGCTTGGAGCTAAGCTGCGGGTATTGTGTTACAAGGGCGTGAAACGCTTTCTGGACGAATCCTGCTTGAAGAAGCCCGGATGAATCTTGCCCGCTGCTTAGGATACCTTGCTCGCGAGCCATGATGGATTGAGCCATTTGCAGGGAAAGTGCACGTGATGCATCTTGCGGGCTGCGAGGCAGGGCTGCAGCGCAGCTGAAAAGGCCAAAATAAGAAACAAGGCGCGCGCTCAACTGCATCGTGGCGAGCAATGTCTGGGCGGGCGTGGGGTGAGGGGCGTTGTTGACCAAAAAGTCTAGTAGAAACAAGAAACTACAGCCTACCAAACAACGAGGAACTGGGCTGGGCGTTTTGTTGCATGGAATGATGTGATCTGCAAAAAAGAAGCAATTTGCGATCAGCCCATTTCCGCCAATGCTTCAACTCTAAAATCTCACCGGCATTTTAATTACCTCGACGCACGCCCCAAAGATAGAACCATAGTGGTAGCGTATAGGTAATGATTTCTATATTATACCCTTGTCCTTTTTCGACTCATATTATAAACATCAGGTCAAGTCCACTTGAAATAAGCATTGAACTCGAAATCTAGATTATTGCTGAATATGCCAACCCGCCCACGCAAACATGCATTCGTAACAACAATAGCCACGTTCCTAGCGTCCCCTCAACCCCCCACTCTCATCCTCGGAGGATCCTGCCACCACAACTGAACAACTATACTCTTCCCCTAGTTCCGCTTCTTGCCTAGCTTCTCAACAAGCCTGGCTGCGTCGTTGACAGCCGCAAACGCACTCCACGTAGCCATGACGCTCTGGTACATGAGGTATCCGGGGATAACAATCCAGAAGGCGTTCATGAGGACAAAGTAGCACCAGTAGTAGAACTGCTCAGGGCGCGAGTAGGACAGGTTGAGGATGTAGTGGTCGAACAGGGAGGTTGTGTAGTACAGGACGTCGCCGTAGAACTGGCCAAGCGAGACGATGAGCTGGGCCGGGTAGCGGAGCGGGTGGTCGATAGAGATGAGGTAGGCAGTGAGGAAGGAACCCGGGCCCCAAAATACCTACAGCAATGGTCAGTCTGTGACACGGCGCACCAAGATCGGCGTCTTAGTCTGGCAAACACATACAGCAGTGACTGTCTCCATGCAGAGCACGAAGGCGTCCTGGGTCAGGTAGCGGGAGTCGCTCAGTGCGTACTCTTTCCACAGCTGGCCAAAGAGATCGTTCATGCCGCCCATGTTGCGGAAGTTGTAGGCAAAGTAGCCCTCGAAGAATGAGTGGATGCATCCGCACAGGACAAACCACATGATGGTGGCCAGGTCCCCGGTGCTGGCATTGGGCCGTGACCGCTTGACCATAACATACGTAACACCGAAGATGGCCACGCACCCAGCCGCGAATTTGAGCACCAGGTCAAAGGTGCCGCTTGTGTTAGCCAGGTAGCCAACAATCTCCTTCTCAATAGGATAGTAAGGGTGCGCGCCCTTGGGCAGGGACGAGTTCGTGGTCGCCATGTCGGGACGATAAACAGAGGCCGTGTCTATCAAAAAGAGGGTGAGAAAGCAACGAGCGGCGGAGAAGCCAAAGACGAGAGAGAGAGATAAAGAAGAAGGAAACAAGAGAGCAGCGATCCAACGCCAATGAGCGGTCTGGCTTAACAATGAGAGCACAGTGACAGCGTGCGTCGGGGTGCCAGATTGCCAAAGACCGTAAAAAGGGAAAATATTCTGGGGCAGGGTCAGGGACCTCGCCGTTGAGGGTAACGATCGGCGCTGCTGCTCGCGCCCTGCCCAGCCTTAACCAGGGGTCAGAGCCGCCAACGCGATTCTTCACCCTTTTCGTCCCGTTCCACCATGCCGCAATCCCCTTGCTCGCCGCGAAAACATATGACGTCTTTTCTGCCTGAGGCATCCTTTCGACATGCTTTCATGCTGTTGCGACAGCCGTGCAGTTAAGTGAATTCACTGAATTACGCTCCGTTTCACCCAGCTCAACGCATCCTGCCAATGGCTCCTTGAACCTTCATTCCCATACATGCCAAGGCCACTGGGCATCTTTCGGTGCATGCTCCAGCCGCCAGCACACATGCCATAGTGTGGAGGGGCATCCTGCTATCTCAGCGCATCGTCTTGGGACCAGGAAAAAGAATACACAAAAGAGTGTGTTGTTTAGTTTGGATTGGGCAAGAATGGAGCAGCGAACAGTGTTGAGGCACTGATTCAGTGAGCCCGCGTTCTGAGACCAATGTTGACATGACCGACCAAGAGACTGCGGAGAGTCGCCCCTCGAGCCCACTTGCACCCTGGCCATCTGTGCCCCAGCCGCTATTCCGGATTTGGCCAACCTCGGCTTCTACCCCAGCTTCTACCAGCCCTCACAACGTCACACTAGGGCACTACACCATTGTCAACCATCAACATGTCGGCCAAAGAATCATCAACACCAGTCAACTGGGAGCTCATCTCCAAGAAAAAGCTGGCTGAGCGAGATTCGCGTATACCAGCAGAATGGAGGCTAGGCACTTTGCCTGGACCCGAGGTTACCAACTACACTGAGATACCGCGCCAATCTGGACTTCTGACTGAACAAGAGCTCCAAATCACAGAGCAATATGATGCTGTCGCACTGGCTGCCGCGATCAGGGAAAAGCAATTGAAATGTCTTGACGTCGCTCGGGCATTTTGCAAAGTAAGCACAGTGTCATTGTAGGATGGTTAAAAGATAGATGAGATACTAATATCAAGACAGAGAGCAGCCATTGCACAACAGCTCACAAACTGCCTTACAGAAATCTTCTTCGACGATGCGCTGAAGAGAGCCTCGGAGCTCGATGCTCACTTGGCTTCGGGAAAACCGCCTCTTGGGCCTCTCCACGGCGTGCCAGTCTCTCTTAAAGATTCCTTCAAGGTCCGCGGCTTCGACGCATCTATCGGTATTGCCGCGCTATGTTTCAAGCCAGCGACTGAAAATGCCGTCTTGGTCGATTGCCTGCTCAATGCTGGGGCAGTTGTATACTGCAAGACCAACGTCCCGCAAACCCTCATGGCTCTGGATTCCCACAACAACGTCTTTGGCCGCACCATCAACCCGCTCAACACCGCCGTAACAGCCGGCGGAAGTTCTGGCGGAGAGGGCGCCCTACTCGCCATGCGCGGTTCTATCCTAGGTGTAGGTACAGACGTCGGAGGCAGCATCCGTATCCCAGCCATGTGCGACGGAACCTTTGGCATCAAGCCCAGCTGGGAACGTATTCCCTATGCCGGTCAAGAACATGGCGGTCTCCCCGGTGCCTCAAAAATTGGCATCCCCGCCAGCGCCGGGCCTCTTGCCCACAGCATCCGCGACATCAACCTCTTCTTCCACGCCATCTCCGCCCAGAAACCCTGGGAGGCAGACCCAGACGTCACACCACTCCCCTGGCCCTCCCTCTCCCTCCCCAAACGTCCCCTCCGCATCGGCATTGTTCGCCGCGACGGTATCATCGATCCCCATCCGCCGATCCTCCGTCTTCTAGACGAAGTCAAATCTGCCCTGCTCACCTCCGGCGTCGAAGTCGTCGAAATGGACATCACCCCACTCTTCTCCCAATGCCAATCCCTCTGCAACGCCCTCTTCGGCATTGAAGGCGGAAACGCAATGTTCGACCTTATCGAATCAACCGGCGAACCCTTATCCCCCTGGCTCTCCTCGCGTCTTAAACGCAAGGCACCTATGTCGTTGACAAAAGTACAGGAACTACATGGTAAGCGTGAGAAGCTGCGAACAGAGTTTTTGAAGATTTGGAAGCAGCAGTCTGGCGAGATTGATGCGTTTATTTGCCCTGTGGCGCCGCATCCTGTACCCCCAATTGATGGATACAACGGGGTTAGCTACACGAGTTCGTTTGTGCTGCTGGATTATCCGGCTGGTGTGGTTCCTGTGAGACGGTTTGGGAAGGGGGATATGCACGGAGAAATGGAGGGGAGGGAGTTGGGGAGTTGGGATAGGGCGAATAGGGCTTTGTGTAAGTTTTTTCTTTTTTCTTTCAAGACTTTGACGTTTTACGTGGGTATTGTGCTGATTAGGATGCAGGGACGAACTTTGATCGATCGATTTATCTCGGCACGCCGCTTTGTGTCCAGGTTGTTGCGCCAAGACTTCAGGATGAGAGGCTGCTGCATGCTATGGCTGCTGTTGATGAGGCGGTCAAGGCGCAGGGTAATGCAAGTGCGAAGTTGTAGCACGAGGCTATCGCGTCTTTATGAGTTCTCTAGGTCATGTCCAAAGTTTTATGGCAATCATTAGGTGCAGTGTCTGTCTTAACGAATATCATGGTGACGGCTCTTAAGCGGCGCTGATGGAGCATATTGAGCTCGATGGTACTATGCCTATCTACTGCTGCTACTGTCCACTGCTGTGGTTAATGAAACCTCGGTAGATTGAAGTAGTAAAGCGTTGATGAGATACACTCCACAGTAGTATCATCAACGGCACAGTTCACTACTATAGTAAAGAAAAAAGAATACTCTAAATTCCAAATCAGCTGATTCCAAGACCAGTTAGTCGAGCTGCGTAGTCATGTAGACACCTAACTGTCAGTAATTATCTTCCCTCACCCCCATCTCATAATATCAGAAACTTCTCAATCGGTACCCATTACCCTCCCTCCCTCTCTCCCTTCCTTCTTACACAAAAAAAACACAGCGAAAAAAAAATATTACTCAAACCCCCCATCCCAACACCACGCAGGCGCATTAACAGGATTACACCTCGCCACCCCCTCTCCAGGCAGCCTAACCGTATAATTAGACCCATACCGCCCACTCACCCCCTTGGCCGGAAAATCCGTACTAACAATCTGCGCTCCACTCGCCAACGCGCGCTCTCTCCGCTCCGTCTCGGCCTTGCGCACAGTTCTCAGCGGCACATCCGCACGCGTACGCAGCATGTAGTTCAGGCGCACCAAGCGCTGGATCTCAGCAAAGTTTTCGTTGCCGAGAGGATTGTCGCGCTTGATGAAGGCTGCGTCGGGGCTACCCTCGAGGGCGCTGGTGAAGACGGTGCGGTTTTGCAGGCTGGGTGCGGAGAGTGTGTAGAGGTGGCGGACGGAGCGGGTGGAAGGGGTGGGTGGGGTGTCGAAGTAGAAGAGGATGCGGCCGCGCGTGTTGCCGAGGGTGGGCCAGCCGTGGTGCAGGATGGATTGTTCGAGGGTGAGGTTGGGGTGGCGCATGTCGTCGGAGCGGAGGATGCGTTGAGGGGGGAAGACGGAGAGGATTTCGGTTTCGACGGCGAGGATGCGGGGGAGGGACCAGTGTATGTCTTGTTTTCGGTATTTTTTGGCGGTGCCGTTGAGGTAGGTGTCGGTTTTTAGTTGGAGGCTTACGGTGATGGGGATGTGGGTGCGGTGGGTGTCGGACCAGGTTTTGAGTTGGTGGAGGCAGTCGACGAAGGTGTGGCAGACGGCGTTTACGTCGAGGTCTTTGGTGTGGAAGACTTTTATGCCCGAGGTGTTGAAGACGCCACTGTCGAAGGGAGGTTGGACTTTGAGCAACTTCAATAGTTTCCAGAGTGCTGGTTTAGAATACAAGGCGCCCTTGTCGTCTGTATGTAGATCAAACTCGAGTGATCGGACAGACTGGTGTTCTAGCTGGCTGTATATATCTTTGTGGGAATAGTACTCGTCTTGCAGGTGTTTAACGTTTCTGAGGTGTGATGCGATCGGTAAGGCTGATATTAGTGGTAGGAACGATATTTTTTGTATTACAGACGATATGCCGTCAACAATCTTGCGCTCCCCTGCTCTCCTCTCGACATGATAGGAATTGTGCGTGCCGATGGCTTGCAACTGGTTGATGCGTATGTCTTCAATAGACGCTGTTGTATTTCTTCTATCGATAGAGAGAGTCGCATCCGCGAAGAGCAGCATGCTCGAAAAGATCTGATACGGTTAGCTGGCATTTACGTGCCCATGATTCTAATTAACAAGATACGTCTTACCGATAAAGCTAACATTGAGTTTTGCTCAAAATTTGCAGACGTGATAATGTTTCTGAAAAACAGTAATATGATGAAGCAAGTTTTTGATTTGAACGACGTGGCCCATACGGTGGACAAATGTAGATGGTCGAATACAACTTTGGTTCTATAGTGACGTTTGGAAGGTAGTGAAATATGACAGGGTCCCAAAGCACTATGCCCATTCGGTGAGAAACACAACAACTGTCCGTTTTATTCATGTCTTTCTGATAGCTTATCGATAGAGCGTAGACTCTGTCATTACACTTCTATATATGTGATTCTGTCAGCCCATTGTCTAGCCATAGAAGCTGCTGCTCTTGAAATTTACTCAAAATGTATTGGGTTCAGTAATGCCAATCTATCGGTGTACAGGGCTACTCCAGTAGTGAATCAACTGAGATAGATACCTCCGCCGAATCTAAACAGCCAACAACTACACTCCCATATCCCTTTTACCAATCAAACTTCTCCCCATACCTCCCAATAAACCCTCCTACATCCGCATCCCTCTTTCCCTCGACAATCTCCAATAACCCCACCGCACTCGTCTCCGAACTCTCAATCCCCATCTCTACCCTCTTCTCCCTATCATCCGCTATATCCGTAGCCACGTACCCGGGACAAAAAGTCCAGACCTTGAAGCCATCAGGCTTAAGCTGATAGTACTGGTACGCCGTCAGCATATTCAGCGCTGCTTTACTCATACGGTACGCTGGGAACCGAACACCGGCGTGCTGATGACTGTGGTCTGATTTCATGGCGATACTGCCCATTGACGAGCTGACGTTTATAATGCGGGGATTAGGGGATTTCTTGAGGAGGGGAAGGAGGGAGGTAGTGATGAGGGTTGGGCCAAAGACGTTTGTTTCGAAGGTTGTGCGGAGGTACTCGCGGTTGGGTGGCCATTGCTCGTCACGTTCCGGGCAGACGCCTGCGTTGTTGATTAGGACGTCGAGGTGGGAGAAGTCTTGTTCGAGCTTTCTGGTTGCTGATTCGATGGAGGCATCGTCTGTGACGTCGAGGTGGATGAGGGATACGGTTCCTTGGATGGGCTTGGATTGGATGTCTTTGAGGACGGTCTCGCCTTTGGAGAGGTTGCGTGCGCCGATTATGACGTGGTATTTTGAAGAGGCGGAGGCGAAGTGGATTACGGTGTCAAGACCAATGCCGTTTGTTCCGCCTTGAAAGGTACGTTAGTGCTTTCGTCTTTTGATTTTATGAGAAGATAGATGGATCATACCAGTGACAAGGATGATTTCCTTGCCAGTTTGTGCCGACATCTTCAATCGGTTTGGTATGTATGTGCGATGATCGAGGTGACACAATTGGAGAGTAATTGATGATTTCTTGGGATACTCTTTCCTGTATAACGGGCAATATTTATACAATCCCCACTTATGGGAGGCCTTGTTCGCATGGTCGGTCCGTTCCAAGTAACCAACACAACTAAGCCTCTATCGTTCATGACGTGTCGGATTTGGCCAAGTCCCAGTGACCAGACATATCGTACCCCGGTGTAGGATCTGGTTATTGACGAGACATATCATACTCCGGTGTAGGATGTGGTTAAGCTGCAAAATGAGCGGATATAGTCAGTACTAAATCCGACGGAGATAAGGTTGTGGTGGTCACAGCAAGTGCTTGCCGAGATGGCTCGAGTACCCCACCTACAAGTAGATGCATTCTGCATACGCATGTTCTGTAGCTGTTCCGCAATTTTCTATCACTTCAAAGGGATGTTTGCCTTTGGGAAAGAGGGCCCTCATTTTCATCAAATCAATCAGAGCATGTAGTAACAGCACCTTTTCCATGTCTTCAACGATACATATCTGAGTACTAAAACTTACCAAGCGTCTTTGGAAAAGCATATTATCTAGGTCTGGTCTACGGAAATAGGTATTATAACGGCAGGAATCACTCAGAGATCAGTATGTATCAACACTCACTTGTTGCTCAAATTCGTAGGTGTACAGGAAGTGTCAATGACTTCAAGATGCACCACTTTATTTTTCGTCCAGGCTAGAGTACCAGTGGTTGGGCCAATCAGCCGCGTGGGGCAACAGAGGCTAGCGCTGCGCAACAAGACGTCATACTCTGTATTACAACGACATTTATGTCTACGCGCATCTAATACAGCCCACTGAATATCGCATCTCTCAGTCATTGCTACGTGTTCGTGCATAGTGCTGCCTAAGAGATGCCTTCCCTTGTTCGAAAGCTGCTCATTTTCGCAGCAGTGGATGGCCTGATCCTGCAACCCTCCCCGCCCCGCAACCATCCGCCCACAACACAACAGGCTATCAAAGTCGACTACAAGGGCAACGTCGGGCCGCTACTAAAGGACAGACGCGAGGAAGATACTGCGCCTATATCTGTCGAGGCACATGGCATAATTGGTATGAGCGTTGGTATGGGCGCATTGCGACGCTCACAAGTTGCTGACAAGTCGAATAGGGCTTCTCAAAATCGCGACATCGCAATTCCTAATCTCTATATCCGACCGTGAACAGGTCGCGCAAATACGCGGAAAGCCCGTTTACAAAATTACCGATGTTGCACTTATTCCGCTCTCTTCCCAAGCCGATGCCGACAAGGCCATTGCAGCCACTCGTGACCACCTGAGACGTCGCAACAAGTCCCCAGGTGCTGAGGATGGAGATACCGAGAGCGAGGGCGACGAAGATGCGCCCAGTGTGACCGACTCGGTCGTCGGGGATCTACCTCCAGCATCGAATGAAGTCACAGACCCAGTTACTGGACGAAAAAGTAGTCCTTCACAAAAGACCAGCGTTGCAGAAGATGTCATACAACGGAAAGGTGTATATGGGAGATTTGCTGACAAGTGGTTCTCTCGGAAGGGTTGGAGTGCAGACAACAGGCGTCTTCAAGGATTCACCTCAGAAGAAAATCTGGCCGCCAGGTATGCACGGCAGGATGCCGATCCAGCCGTACCGAAGGAGCAACAAGGACCTGAGGGCGAATCCAAACCGGATGCGATTCCGACCGAGGATGAAAATATACCCCAAGAAATCAGCCCTACAGCAATACCGAAAGCACTGGGCGGCAAGAAGGACGCAGCAACAATAGCATTGTTACCCAAGATCTTGCAGACGACGAAGATGTACTTTGCATCGGGTAACTTTTTCTATTCATACGACTATGACATTTCAAATGGCATCGGCCAGCAGCAGCCAAGCTCTAGCGTGCCACTTTTCAAACAGTTTGATCCTCTGGTTAGTCGGCATCCCGTGTACATGTCGCGCAACCCATTGACCTTCGTTTAGTTTTTCTGGAACCAGAATATTGTATCCCCTTTTATTGAGGCTGGCCAGCACTCCTTTGTGCTGCCAATCATACAAGGCTTCGTTGGACAGAGGCCTTTTACTCTCAAGACTACAGATTCACAGTCCGGTAGTCTTGTGGTTGATCCAAGTGCAACACCAGATGACATACAATTGCAGCCTTGGCTAGAGAAGCAAAAGCAGGAGACACAGCAAGCAGAGAACGAGAACACCGAGATCCACTCAGAGCAAGACTCTTTGGCACAAGGCAAAGACTTTTTGTTAACACTCATCTCACGTCGATCGACTAAGCGAGCTGGACTTCGCTACTTACGGCGTGGCACAGACGACGAGGGTTGCACTGCGAACAGCGTCGAGACTGAGCAGATACTCTCGACTCCAACTTTTGACACGACTCAGGATAAGATATTTTCTTTTACGCAATTCCGTGGATCTATACCATTGTTCTTTTCTCAATCGCCATATAGTCTTAAGCCTCAAGTTACTACCTGGGGCTCTTTTGAGACGAATGCACTTGCCTTCAAACGGCACTTTCTTGACCTGTCGTCGCGGTACGGAGATATATACTGTGACTCATTGATCGATAAGCACGGCACAGAGGCAAAGATTGGTGAGCTGTATGAGCAGCATGCAAAGGCACTGAATGAGAACGGGGGTATCGACGGAAAAGGCAAACAGCTAGGATTTGAGTGGTTTGACTTTCATAATGTCTGCCGTGGAATGAGGTTTGAAAATGTTTCGAGGCTGATGGACTCGATTGAGCCCTTCATGAAATCGTCAGGTTGGGTTGAGATTGCGGATGATCAAGTACAGCAAAAACAGACTGGCATTTTGCGAACGAACTGCATGGACTGTCTGGACCGCACTAATGTGGTTCAGTCAGCTTGTGCTAGGACTGCTCTGGAGTCGCAATTGTCCTTGGGTAACTACCACATCGATCTCCAGCACGACCCTAGTACTTCGTGGTTCAATACCCTGTGGGCGGACAATGGCGATGCCATCTCGAGACAATATGCCGGCACAGCTGCACTCAAGGGCGACTTTACACGAACGCGTAAACGACAGATTACAGGTGCTCTGACTGATTTTGGGCTAACCCTGACTCGCTATTACAACAACATTGTCAATGACTACTTTGCCCAAGCACTCATCGACTATCTTCTTGGTCGCGCGACCGACACCATCTTCTCCGAGTTTGAAGCGGACATGAAGAGTTCAGACCATTTTGTTGATCTGCGCAGAGTTCGACAGCAAGCCATAGAACGCTCAGCAGGCATCGTCATTGAAGACCATGACGAGGACTTGGTCCAGGGCTGGACGCTTAGTGTACCCACTGCCGCAAACCAAGTCAAAACAACGACGTTTGAAGAGGCAATTCTCCTGCTCACAGAAAAGGCACTATACTTTTGCCGTCTAGACTGGGGTACCGAAAAGGTACGAGAGTTTGAACGCATCCCACTTGAAAACGTGCAGGGCCTCATGCGCGGTGTTTACATTACGTCAACCCTAGCACACCGGCACATGGATACGGACAAGAATGTGGGACTCATCATTCGGTACCGACCTAACAGCCGCGGCAAACTAGTACGCAGAAACACCAGAGTGCTGGATTCGGAGCCTGGCGACGATTCGGCCAAGGATGAGGCTCAGAAAGCTCCGAAGCAAGATGATACCAGCGGTCGGTTCCTCGCTTTCAAAGCGTTACCAGCGCATAGCAGTGTTCCTGTGGTATCTGATGATGCAGTCGAAGATGAGAATGAGATTGTCAAGTCGGTCTGCGATGAGATTGCGCGGGTCGCTAATGGCGTGCGCAGAGGAGAGGGTGAAGGAGATCGAAAAGTGGAGATTGAAGAGAAGGATATCATCAGCCTTGAGGATGCGAAGAAGAGTACCGGGTACCTGGAACAGTTTGAGTACTCGTTGAAGAAACTTGTTTGGGGGTAAGTAGATGGGGGCTGCCTGTACCCACGTAGGGGGGACGGTATCTGTAGAGTAAAGAGGTTTTAGATAATATGTAATGGCACTCTTTAGCGTTGTAATACGATACGAGGATGAGATACATCTATGCTAGCAGCCACTAGCTTCTGTCGACTTGAACGTACGAGAACTTTTTGACTTAGATATTGAATAGCCTTATCTTGGTACAGAGCATACTAATGAAGATAATGTTCTCCTTTGTGCCCCGGCCATTGGATCTTTCTGAGACCAGGATGCAACTTAGAAATGTGCGGAGTCAGTCACGCAGATATCAGGCGTACCGTTGCAGGGGTATGATTGTTAGCGAGCAGGTTGATGAATAGGGTTAACTTGGCTGCAGGAGCAATATAACTATGCTATCCACCCACCTTACTCTTCTTCTATTTCACGTTCTTACAAAATTTGGGGAATGGCCAAACTCCGTGCCTGGGTGAAGAAACACCTCCCTTCCAGACCGGGCCACAAGAAGCAGTCTAAAGACCAACTCCCGTTCCTTTCATCTTCACGTCGTCCCGTCACACCAACTTCATTGAGCACTCCGGGATGTCTATTCTTCCAACTCCCTGGCGATATCCGCACCATGATTCTCACCATGGCTTTTGGCGGGCGTACCCTTCACGTAGACATTGTGCGCCGAGACGAAGCCTGGCGGTGGAGAGGGGCCGTATGCCACCGAAACTTAGCAGGGACACAGTCGTCTATGCGATACGGCTGGCATGGTCCATGGATCGACTACTACATGTGGAACGACTGTGGATGCAAAGAGACACCACCTGAAGAGTGTAAAATTGGCATCATGGGGTTCCTGCTGTCATGTAAACAAGGCTACACTGAAGGCATCAATTTCTTATACTCTACCAACACCATCGACATCCAGAGCACACCTCTACTCCTCCACCTCCCCCAAATCATCTTACCCAACCGGCTCGCATGCATAAAATCTTTAGAAATCATCATCTGGGCACAAAGTACTGAGTCAGACAACGACAAGCCAGCCACCACCGAAAACCGCCTGGAGCCCATTCTCAACAACATCGCCACGCACTGCCACCAACTCCGCAGTCTCTGCATCAGCTTAATGGCGACGGATGAGAACTACAAGAAGATATCCACTACACCAGCATTACATCTCGTTGATGCCTTCCATCGCTCCACACACATGCGCAACATGAAATTCGAGATTCCATACGGAAGCTACTTCACAACAGCCGCTGGCAAGCCTACCGTGAATCACCCGCGTGAAGCACCAGCCACAGGGAGGCGTCAGAGATCGCTGTGGAGATCATTGGATAGCGAGGTGCCCGTGCTGCAGGATAGGTCGATTGAGCGGTATCCATTTCCGCCGCTGAGAGTGCCGGTGCTGGAGGATGGGGATGAGGAGAGTGCTGGATACTGGATTTTGCAGGGCGATGAAGGGCCTTATAAGCCTGTTTACTGGCAGGGGTGTCCGGGGTAGTTTGTATACTACGCTTGGAAACGTGGATTAGTAGAGTAATGGAATGTGTAGCTGAGATTTGATGATGTCATGTGTAGAGTATTTAGCAGAGCAAAAGTATTGTTTCTCGCTAAAGATAGTATTCTTTGTTTTCCTTTCCGACTAGGATAGATTGCAACAATAGATACTCCGAATCATGAGCAATTATGGGAAATTTAACCACTTAAACGGATGCTCAAACTAATATTTTGTCAGTTCTTAATAGCTCGCATCATGTTGGATCCAATTCCTGGTAATATAGGTCTAAATTCCATGCTAAGCCCTACGAACTCAATAAATTCGCATACATGTTTGAGACTTTCTTACTTTACATGGAATATGTCAATGAGGAAAACCTCCTTGAAGAATGCTATCAAGCACAAGCGACCCACAAACGAAAGTCAGGTCTCATAATCTCATCGTTCATCTATTTTGTTCTAAACTGTCTAATCATAATTCATCCACCTTCAGTATCCCTTCCAAACAACCTCTTCACACTCAGGATGCTTAAACGCCCCATTGCACAATTCATACTCATACTCCAGATCCGGCTGAAACTCCCAATACAAACTCTCAGCATCACTTCCCATCCTAAAAGTATACTCTGCCGCCGCATCCTCGACATAAACCTTGGGAACACCATTTGCAGCTGCAGCCTCAACCTGTAACTGCACCTCACATGACCGCTCCATCAATGTATACAAATAAGCAGCCTCATCAACCGTATCACCCACAGTCTGCGTAGTTCACCGTCAGCAATTCCCCCCTCCCGAAAAAAGGAACATGGAATATCCCTGTAAAGAAAGACGCTCAGGGCCCCTGACTCACCAGCAACCCATGATTTCTTAAAATCAGCCCTTTACCCTTTGGCCCCAGCGCACCAGCCAACCGCTTGCCCTCCGCCTCATCAAACACAATACCCCCGAAATCCTGGTACACAGCCTGTGCCTCACCATAAAAGTAGCACACATCCTGATTAATCATGTCCAGGGGCTTGGCAAAAGCGCTCCAGGCCTTGCCGGCCGTACCGTGGCAGTGGCACGCAGCGTTGACATCGGGCCTTGCCTTGTGCACGGCCGAGTGAATCAAAAACCCAGCGGCGTTGGCAGGCCTGCTGCGGTTCCCGCCGACGACGTTGCCGTCGTAATCGACGAGCACCATGTCGGCCGCTGTGAGCAGCGCAAAGTGCTTACCGAGCGGGTTGGTCCAGAAGGTGTGCGGGTTTTCTGGGTCACGCACCGAGATGTGGCCGCTCATGCCTTCGGTGAGGCCTTTTCGGGCGAACACCCGGAAGGCGCCTGGATGAAGGTGGTTATTTTTGGTTGTGTGGATGAGGATAGTGAGAAGGTGTACCGACCGGCCATGTGGGAGAGGATCCATGCGCGTTGTTTGTCGTAAGAAGAGAAGAGGGGGACGCTGGGGAGACACACGCCCTGGGATATGGCTTGAAGTGGTGTTAATTCTTTGGATGCATCGTCTTTGGAATGTGGCACCAGCTGCTTGGGTTGCGGCGTTGGTGTTGGTTCGGCTGGGATGGCGGACGGGGCCATGGCGGCGGTGGTAGATGCGGTGATAAGAGTTACTACTATTATCTGTGATGAGTAGCAGAGGAAAGCGAAATTATTCGGAAAGCGGGTGCTAAATCAGTATCCGATCGGACATAATGCAGCGGAGATGATGGCTTCTTATCTCAACTCGATAAAATCCTTCTTCGCTCAATAAGGCGTGTACATGCGAAGTAGTGGCCGCGTATCGACCGGCCCGGTTTCAATTCGTGGCTACCACCTGCAGGGTAGTAGCCGGCTCTGCGTACCTGAACGACCACTTTTCTTCTCTTGTCTCCGGTTCACAGCTGACAACACCACATTGTTCGTCCTGAAACCCCACTCGGCATTGCTATCGGGAGAAACGTGTCCGGCCAAGAGACTCTTGATTTGATTTTTTTTATGTACATTCCATTTTCTTCGTACTGTTCCAACGCCAACGTCGTTCAGCCGGCCGGGAAACAGACAATTATTCGTGCCATCTGCGCTCATCGTAAAAGAATCAAACTATCCATATAAATTAAGAAAAAAAATGGTAGTTACCATTTCTTTTTTCGGTTCAGCAATCCATGTCTTCGCTTAAAAGCCAATGGCCCGCCCCAGGGCCCGGCAACGGTATAGAAATATGAAGAAAAATATAAACAGTTGTTGTATCTTACAAAAGTCGCTCAATACTACCTCTACATCTTTCCACCAGGGAAGCTAGACAGCAATCCCATGTCGAACTTGGCAGCCTGCGGGCATCCCAGGATAGCAAGAATAGGATCAAGCACAGCCGTCAACTTGCGCACCGCAAGCAAAACATTGCCAAGCAGGCCATCCAGGATATCCGGCGAGGCAAACTGCACAAACTGGAACGCAAAGCACATGGCATTGTTACCTTCAAGCAGCGTCTGGGCGTTGAAAACACCACCGGTCAAATCCGCAATATTGACACCAGTAAACGTGTTGGGCTTGCCCGTGTTGCCGCCAACAACAGCCATGTAGGGGAGAGCCTGCAGCGCACCGACAGCATCGAGGGCGAAAGACGCAATGCCATATTCATCACCGATAGCACGGCGGTAATACTACAAACCAAGTGTCAGCAAAGCAGTTCCTAGCCGAAACGCCAAGAAATCGTAGTAAGAGCAACCTACATTATCAGGAATCCTCTCCCGACCAGCCGCCCACTTGAAACTTCCCTTCTCCCCGGTCACACCCTCAAACGACTTGAGCGTCTCCAAATCAAGATAGCCATCGGGAAACTGCGCACTGTGGTTACGGAAAAAGTGGTACGTGAAAAGGTACGTAGCCGTATTAATCGCATAGTGCGTGAACGGGCCCGCAAAGTAGCGTCCATTCGTCGCGATAGAGTTGTTGAAGCGAGAGCCCCGGAAGGGATGCATGACGGTGAGATCGTATCCGTTCGGGCCGAGGGGCATGGCCGCTAGCTCTTCGAATTGAGCGAGGTTGAGGGAGTCGGTGTCGCCACTGCCGCACATTTCACGTTAGCCCGTTCACCATCTCCATTTGTACATCCATCCCCATCCACCCAATCAATCAATAAATCAATAGATTGGAAAATAGGGAAAGGGAAAGGGTAAAGAGAAACTTACGTCTTGTACAAATCCCCCCTCGTAGGCGAACAATCCGCCTCAAACCGATTATGCGACGCACTCAGTCCCTGCGCCTCGCCCAGCAGGCCAAGCGACGACGTGACGCCAGTCAGCAAGCCGCCGCTCTTGGGCTTACCACCAATAGAGACGGTGGTTAGATCGCCAGCGACGAGGCCAGAGTAGACGGAGAGGAAGGCGGAGAGGTCAGTTGCCATGCCGAAGACTTTTGCTCTGTTAGCGACTTGAATTGGGGAAGAGAGGGGGCCAGGGATCCCGGAGGAAAAGACAAACCTTCGGTCGACGCAGTGGTCAAATCAATCACCGACGCAACTCCCGTTCGCGAGATGTATCCATGGTTTGCGAGGACGTTGAGACCGGGGCAAGGACCGCGGATGTCGTTTGGTCCTGGTGCGATCTGGTATTCTCGTCAGCCATATTCTCCTCTCCCTCTCCCATGCCCATCCACTCAAAACGTTTCAACCTCCTAACCAGGAAAATGATAAAAGAAGAAGAAGAAGAAACTCACATATCGATGCTCCCCCGTAACGCTCACACGCTGCGCATTAGCATCAAACACTGGCTTCACAAGCCCAAGCCCCAACTGCCGCTTTGCAGACGCAGCAGCGGCCGTCTCGCGCTCAATCCTAGCAACAATACTGTTGATTTCCGCAAGTGTCTCGCTGCTGATATCGGCGTTGAGCAAGTTCGCTGGAAACGCGAGGGCGGAGCCGAGGAACAGCGAAACGCTGTACAGTAGCGAAGTTGTCTTCATCTTGTATCTCTGATCAAACTTGTCTTCTTTCTTTCCTTTCCTTTTCCGCTCCCCCCCAAAAAAGGATTCAATAAACGATTACACACAAAAATAGGACACAGAGAGATAAACCTCAACAGGGGTCGAAGGACAAGGAGGGGGGGGGGATTAATGTATTAAATCCAAAAAAGAGAGCGTATAAAACCCCGATTTCTGTTTCCTCAATGTAAGTGTAAAGATGAAAAGAAAAATCTCAAGAAACTTTGGTGGTAATAACTTTATCGTCTATATATCTAATTTCCCCCCCCCCCTTCTCCCCCTCCCCCAAAAGTATGACTACTACTACTACATACTAAACCTTCAAAACTTCCTCCCCCCCCCCCCAAAAAAAAACCAA